AACATATTATTTGACGCTTTGCTTGACTGCGTCAACTTAATAAAAACAGAGTCAAACATATTATTTGAATATATACAAGATGATGTCAAAAACACTTATGATAAAATTGTTTCTAGTCCATGGACAAGCAATATATCTTCAATATCTATTAATTACAATGGCAAGGTTGGCATTGGAAACGCCGAGCCTATGGGCCCGCTTCACATTGGAAATCCAAATGTGTTTAGCGATGGTCATCTTATCCTAAGCTATGGAACCGGAGGATATGGAACAAATTTCCGGATTGGCTATAACTTTTTAGATAATTATTTAATGATGGGAGATTTTACAAGTGATTCTTGGAAAGGTCAAATAAAGATAAACCCTGATGCCTATGATGGCGCTTTTGTCATTGAAAACGACGGTTCAATTCTGCTCGGTTACAAAACGGCAATACTACCCACAGGAAGAAAACTTAAATTAAATTCTGCTGGAAATTTTGACGATGGGGTTGAGATTGTCGGAAATCTCACGGTAACAGGTGAGATTGTGGGGTTGCAAGATATCATAAATAATACATCCAATATTCTATATGAAATCATACGCGATGAATCAAACATATTAAATAATACAATATATTCAGAGTCAAATATATTATATCATTATCAAAAAACAGATTTTAATCTGTTATATGATACGATATATTCAGAATCTAATATATTATATAATTATCTGAAAGAAGATTATGATATATTACATGATAAGATATATTCAGAATCTAATATATTATATAATCATTTGAAAACTGATTCAAACCTATTAAACAATCATATATATACAGAGTCAAACATTCTTTATCATGTGATCAACAATGAAATAAAAAACTCAGTGAATACAAATAATTTAACAGTCAATAATTCTTTAACGTTCTCGGATAAGTTAGCTTTGAACAACAATAATTTAAACATAACATATCCCCTTTCATTATCACCAGTCAAAGGAGATGTGTATATTGGGCCTAGCAGTTTGACAATAAGAAACTTATTGAATACATCTTATAATAACATTGAATTTACCGGAACGGTCGAAGATACATATAAACTTAACATATCAACATACAGACTTAATTTTCAAAGCAATCAAAATTTAATAGTCAATGACCTTTTATTTTCTCAATATATAAACCTTTCTTTTTGGTGGAGATTTGACAACACGAACGAGGCAAGAAACAACGGAACACAAGAATATAGACTTTTTCAAATCAAATATGAAAATAAGAATGGCAACGATGATTTTTATGATGGGACTGAATTTTACTGGATTATTTCAGATGATGATTCTTTACCTGATAAATTTTTGGGGCTGCGGGTCAAGATTGTATATATAAATAATTTACAACAAAGGGTTGAGAATTTGAGGTCCGTCATCATTAACAATAATTTTGCGAATGATAAAACATTGTTTTACGATTGGAATCATTACGCTTTCAGCATATCCAAAGATATATTTAAGGTTTATCTAAATGGTGCTTTGGTGGCAATGGATATCACGCCACCGACTGCGAACTGGTATCAACTACATCCAATTCAAATTTATAATTATAACATTAGAAACTACATCCTAAAAGATGGGAGATATTCAGCTAATAGGGGAATATGTAATATTGTTATGAATGCCACAAATGGCATATGGTCTGATGATGATGTTTATAAATTATATAATGGTGATGTCAATAACATGAAAACAAAGATAACGGGAGGGCTACAATTAGATCATTTGATATGTAATAATATATTATATGGTGGTGCCTCCCTAAATTTGAATAATCAAACAGTCAGCACAGAACAAAGCCTATCAACAAATAATAATATACGACGGAGCTTAACCATTAACAATGAACCAGCCAAGACAGACATCAAAGATTTATTTGATTCAGCAGATAGACAAGGAATACTAAAGATATATTTTGATGAAGCACAACAAAGATATGTTTCTACAATTGAAACGTTTCAGCTAAATTTTAAGAACACAAAAGACGGGGATGTTACCATAACTCTAAATAATTATAATAGTCAAGATATAACACTAAAAGATGGAATTCAAGGCCCTCAAGGCCCGCAAGGCCCGCAAGGAAGCACCGGACCACAGGGAAGCACCGGACCACAGGGAAGCACCGGACCACAGGGAAGCACCGGACCAAAGGGTGATAGGGGCACGAACGCCGGTCAAATCATATTTAAAAATTATGATGGAACGGTTGAATTAGCAAAAATCGGCGATTCTAATGTTTCAAGTGCCTCAATCAATATTCCAAAAGGAACAAATGCCGGAGAGTTGAAATTTTATAATGCTGATGGGACTGAATTAATAGGAAAAATTGGAGATGCCAATGTTTCGAGTGCTTCAATTAATCTGCCAGCAGTTGGCCCAAGGGGTTACGCCGGTGTGAATGCTGGACAGCTTAAATTTTATAATTCAGATGGCTCGACATTATTAGGTCAAATCGGAGATTCTAATGTATCATCTCAATCAATAAATTTATATAGTGCCGGTGTGAATGCTGGAGAGCTCAAATTTTATAATTCAGATGGCAGTTTATTATTAGGTAAAATCGGAGACCCTAACGTTTCAACTGCTAATATAAATATACCAGCAGGAGAACAAGGCCCTCAAGGCATTCAAGGCATTCAAGGCGTTCAAGGAATTCAAGGAATTCAAGGCGCAACAGGACCAGCCGGCACAAACTGCCCCGAGATTGTTTTATTAGACAGTCAAAATCATGAGCTTGTGAGATTTGGTGATTCAAGCGTTTCAACTCAAACTGTCATACTTCCAAAGCTATATGACGATACAGACACAAGCAATTATCTATACACAAATGAATATATACAACGTCATGAGCTAGAAGATACAAGCAATCTATTATATGAAGATATAGAGCTATATAAATTTAAACCTATTGATTATCTTGTCAATGATGGAGGAGATATCTTCTTGTTCGATGAATACACAAACAAAACTTACAATACAACAAATTCAGAACTTCAATTGACTAATTCAAATAAGTCTGTATCTCTAATATTTGAGGATAAGCAATATGATAATGTCTTGATTACTCCTGAACTTTATAACTTTCAGTACTCGGCCGCAGGCACAAGTACACTAACACCTACAATATCATATACAGGGCCTACGCCTGAGATAGCTTGGTATAAATTTAACGATGATTTAATAAATGATATAGATTCAATAACAACCATAACAATAACAAATGGGGCTTATTCGTTCTCATCAATTACTAATAAACAAGGTAAGAGCTTATCACTAGATAGTAAAAATATAGATGGTTTATCTTGGACACGGTGGAACAACGGATATGCTGTATATTCTGGCACTGTTAATTCAACTGGAACAGACACAAATATATCAAATGATTTCAATGTTACAGCTGAAGAAAATTTTGCAGTTGAATATGTAGGATATTTTTATACAAATTCCTACTCGGGAACTTTCACATTTTACACATCAAGTGATGATGAAAGCTACCTATGGATTACATCCGGAGGTACAGAGACAATGGTAGTAAATAATAGTGGAAAGCATGCGACACAAGAAAGAAGCGGCACAATTACTCTAAATTCTTATACATATTATCCTATACGTGTTCGTTTCAGTGAGGCAACAGGCGGCAATTCAATTACCGTCAATTTTGCCGCTTCTGGATTGACAAAGACAACAAACGGAAGCGGATTTTATTATAACAGAATAAACACAAATGTTTCAATACCAGACATCATATATAATGGGTTTCTTACTTTCGCTTTTTGGTTGTATGCTAGGAGTTCTAACAATGAAACAATAATTAATTTAAGCGATGGTATAAATAACATAAAATTATATATAATTTCTGGTGTAGTATCTATAAGCATAAATGGCGTTAATGATACAGCAACAGGTCAATCGATTGATTTAAATACATGGACACATTATAGCTTGACAATTGGAAATTCAATAAATCTATACAAAAATGGGAATAAATACACGTCTTCACTCACTAAACCGACCAACACAACATTTAACAAAAATAAATTAGGGTTAAATTCTGATGATTCAGGTTATACATTATTAGCAAATTATCAAGATTTAAGATTTTACAATAGAGAGCTTTTAGAAATCGATGTTAATTTGATAATTGGATATTCAGGACAAAGAGCCTTAACAGTTCAGAACTTTGCTAAGCCTTACACCAACGCGCAAATCGATGATAAGATTGATAATATTGTTATCCCAGCTGGCTATAGTGATACAGATGTACAAGCATATCTAACAGCCAATGATTATGTCACATTATCAGACATACCAGCTGGATATTCTGACACTGACACACAAGCATATTTAACTACAAATAATTATTTAACAAGTGGAACACAATTTATAAGAAGCGTTACAGGCAATCAATTAGCTTTATCTTTTACACCTTTTACATCAGCAAGTCAATATATACAATCGGTTAATTCATCTTACTTTAGCGTTACAGGCAATCAATTAAGTCTAAGCTTCACACCTTTAATATCATCAAGTCAATATATACAGTCGGTCAATTCCTCATTTACTGTTACAGGCAATCAATTGAGCTTATCATTTACACCATTTACATCAGCAAATCAATTTATCCAATCTGTCAATTCTTCTTTTACTGTTACAGGTAACCAATTAGCTTTATCATTTACACCATTTACAAGCTCAGACCAATTTATAAAATCTGTCAATACAAATAATTTATCGGTAAACGCTAGCGGTCAGCTGGATATAATAGCTGTTCCATCAAATTTTATAAGTTCAGTGTCAAACGATTTCAATGTATCTTCTGGATTATTAAGCCTAGCTAATAGCTATGTCCTTCAAAGCACTTTTAATGAACTTTTTGGTAGATTGACATGACAGGAATGACGGAGGTAATCAGTCATTCTCTTCATTCATTCTCAGATGCTCACGAGCTTCTTAATCCGATCATCATGACTTCAGAACTTGGTGCCATCCACACTCGGAACGTTCCTCTCAACTCCTCGCGTGTCCGGCCCGCTGTAAGTCAGAAGCTGGTACACCCCACCATTGCCCTGGTACCCGGTAAGCAGGACCTTGTGATCCCCAGCTGAAAGGGTGATGGAGCCGCAAACTTTCCTAGGGGGATGCTCGTAGTCGTTTTCTAAGATCGTCCTGCCGTCCACGTAGACGTAGGAGCCGTCGTCAGAGGTGGAGCAGAAGGAGTAGGAGCCCTCCTCCGTAACCCGCACCTTGCCGTACACCGCCCATGCGTAGTTGCCTTCAGGGCATGAGGGGATGATCCTGCGGAGGTCATTTAGGTCGCCGAAGTAGACGGTGGAGATGGTAGCCTTGTCAACAAATTGCAACGAGCTCATGTCGGGCACGCGAGAAAGATAGCTGGAGGCCTTGTACAGGTACATCGTCCACTTTGATGGGGGAGGGATGGCTGGGAGCGACTCTACGGGTGTGCTGACCATGCGCTGATCCAAGTTCCTTGTGTCTGGACCCGAGTAGGTGGCGACTTGGTAGGCTTCTCCGCTGCGAAGGAAGCCCTCGATGCGGATGGCAAAGCTGCCGACGGCAAGGCTGATGCTTCCGCACTTTCTCTGCACGTTGTGCGTGCCGTCATTGCTGGCGACGAGCTGGTTGTCGACGTAGAGGAAGGAGCCGTCCTCGGAGGTGGAGCAGAAGGTGTAGGAACCAGGCCCTTTGATATCCACCATCCCATAGAAGACCCACGCGAACTGCGAGGAAGGCGTGTCACCGACGATCTGCTTGAAGTCTTGTGTCCTGGTGAAGTACAGGTCTTGCACGCTGCCCTGCCCTACATAGGTGAGGTAACGCCAGTACGCGTCTGCCATGTTGTAGAGGTCTGCGCCTTTGAACACCCGCAGAGTCCACGAGGAGGCCGCTGGCTTTTGTGGAGCCCAGGCGGAGGAGCAAGTGAGGTAGCGCAAGACGTTGCCAGTGTCAGGCCCGGCGTACTGAGCGATGAGGGAGGCGTCGCCCTCGTACTTGAAGCCTGTCAGGAAGACCGTGTGCGATCCCTTGCTCAGCTCCAGCTCGCCGCACTCCTGCCGGGCCCCATGCGACCCGTCGTTGTCAACCACCAGAACCTCCTTGACGTACAGGAGTGACCCCTCGTTGGACGTCACGCACATCCTGTATGTTCCTGCCGCCCCCACGCTGAGCTTACCATACACGGCCCACACGTAGTTGTACTCGGGCGTTGAGGGTACGATACTCTGAAATTCACTCCTGTCGTAGAAGTTGATGTACTCGCTGTTTCCTTGCCCCACAAACTGCAGCAGGCCCAATGCTGGCGTGTAGTCGAGCTTAGACACGTGGCTCTGGTAGATGCGGACGAGGAACGAGGAGGATGGCTTGTTAGGAAGGTTCGGCAAGTTGCCAGCAGAGGATCCCAGACTTTTGACGAGCAGCTCAGCTCCTCCTGTGTCAGGCCCACTGTATCTCAGCTCAGCATGCAGGCGGCCAGAGCCCACGAAGCCCTCGAGCGTCAGCTCGTGCGAGCCAGCGTCCAGCTGGGTAACAGCGCACTCGCGATGCTCCGTGTGCTCCCCGTTGTTCTCGACGAGCAGGCGGCCTGCCAGCAGGACGCGCGAGCCGTCGGAGGAGGTGGTACAGATCTGGTAGTCCCCAGCCTTCACCACCAGCAGTGAACCATAGAAGATCCAGAGGACGTTGTTTGTGGGCGTGTTGGGGATAAGGGATTGAAGCTCGCTCATGTCCTCCATGTCCACCTCTTCCAGTCCTGTCTGCTCACCTATCATCTTGACCATCGGGACATCAGGGATTTGCTGCCAACAGCCGTCAGAAGTAGCGCCCCTCCCTCCTCCTTCCCTCTCTTTGTCCTGGAACCCCGCCCCCCCCCCATCCCCTTCCTCTCTTCGCCCTCTCTCTCTCCATCCTGTCCTCCCTGTCCTCCCTCTCACATGAAGAGCCTTGGGGGAGCTAAAGGTTCGAACTCCCCAGTCTGATTCCATCGGTTCTTTGGGCAGGTTTCCTGTCGCGTCTTCACTTCTCAAGAGCATGAAGTTCTCGCCAGTGTCATGACCCCTGCATCATCGATCAGCAGCTCGCACCAGCACAAGGGCTGCCTCACTTCCAGAACGCATGCAGCACGAAGTTCCCTGTGCTCAAGAAGCCGCGGACCTCCACTGGCACCAGACCGTTCGAGACTTCGTAAGTACCGCACACGTGCTTTTCCTCGTGCCTCCCGTCGTTGTCCACCACCAAGTTACCGTCGATCCACAGCTGGGAGCTGACAGGCAAGTCAGCGAGGATCGTGAGGTTCGCAAGCACCTACCCGTCCGAAGAGGTTGTGCACCACTGGTACTCGCCTCCCCTCTGCACCAGGACGTTGCCGTAGAAGATGGCCATGAAGTTGGAGGAGGGAAGATGTTCGAAGTACTTGAGCTGATGTCAGCATCGCAGCAAGCATGTCAAGGATTCTAAGGACCTTGCGAAGTTCGCTGGTGCCCTGGAAGTTGATGTAGGGGATGGTAGTACTTCCAATATGGTATAGAGCCAGCAGGGAAGGCATGTATTGTAAGGTGTCGTCGGCTTCGTAGAAGCGGACAGTCCAGCTCGAGCGAGGCCTCTTGACAGCGCTGGTGATCTTAGAGAAGACAAGTCAGGCCGTTGGAGAACAGAGAGGGCGAGACGAACCAGCATCGACTTTGCGCGATCCTTCCAGCCTTCCCAAGACAAGCAGTTGATGTCTCTAGGGCCTACGTAGGTGATCTTGTTGCCTTGGAAGTACTTGTCAGAGAACAGAGTGACCTGCAGGTGTGTTAGGCGAGAAGGTGGATGACAGCGGCGACCGAAAATTTCTCAGGGATGGAGAGGGAGGCAATTTCGTTGGGGTTCAGCTTGCACTCGTGCAAGCAGCACATCTCCTGATTGTCATCGCATTCCCCGTTGTCAAATCTCTCCCACTCCCCTTGACGCATGCTCTGAGACCAGGAAGGCTCTTCTTCGGGATCCAACGGATCCAAGCAGCTTCCTCTGACAACAACCTTGTCCTCCTTGTAGCTGCAGCAATGATTATCACCCTTTCCCTTGTTCTTGTCCCTCACCTCTCGACGCATTTGTCGGGGATGTAGCATTCCTCTCGCAAGTGCCGGACAGTCTTGAAGATCGGCCTCACGTTCTTGCGCTCTCCCTGTACGAGTGTCAGCCCTGTGTCAAGCAGGTCATCGTTACCAGTTGGTCGTTATTCAGTCCCCAGCAGCACACGCCGACATCGTCTGAATGCGTACACTCCTCGCCTCCACATGACTTTGGACAGTCGCCGATGTCCAGCTCTGATCCGGCGCCTGCAAGAACGTGAGCAGCAGAGACAACCTTGCTAGGCGATACAAGCAACGTGGGAGAGCCATATGGGTCCTTGTCCTCCTCCCTTCTTGATGGCCTTTCCTCCTTCCTCAAACCCAAGGCTACGACACACCACTTGGGCCGACAGCTGCGTGAAGCCGTACAGGCAGACGGTTCCCCAAACCTGGGCAGGAGAGCGTCAGACGCTAGCGGGAACGAGGGGTCAACTCACTCCGTTGTAGTGCGTCTCGAGTCGACAAGAGCTGAAGTCACAGTCCACCAGCCTCGTCCATGCGTCGCCCCCCCCCGGGCAGAAGTACCGCCCGGGGGTCCAGCCGTCATCTGCCGGGGCTTCGCCAGCGAGTGAGTGCGGGCGCGAGGCAAGGACGGGTTGCTCACCAGAGCCCTGCAGCCCGTCAGCCCCAGAGGGGCCCGAGATGCCGTTCGGGCCGATCAAGCCCTCTTGTCCTCGGTCACCTTGGCCATGGTCAGGGGGAGCTGGGAGTCTTGCCGTCTTGTTACCGTCAAGACCCATCGGCCCTTGCTCTCCGGGCCCTCCCATGACCCCCGGAGGTCCCTGGATGCCCCGCGGTCCTTGCGGACCGCTTGCTCCGTCAAGTCCGTTCAGGCCAGGGTTACCATTCATTCCTGGTAGAGATTAGCTGGGGTTAGACCAGCGGTGGTACGGCCTCCTTACCTGGTAGGCCGGGTGGTCCACTAGGAAGTGAAGTCATTCAACAAGAAGAGGCCGCGCAGGGTGACTTACGGGAGCCCTTGGATCTCGTGATATTGTGCCTTGATGTCATCAGATTCCTTGGTGTTGAACTCTACAACCTCCCTCTTGACATCTGAGACCGTGGAGGCGACGTACTCTTTCAGCCCTTTCTCCGCAGCGTCGAGATTCTCCGACATCTTCAGCGACTTTGTCAAGGCTGACTTCAACCTGACAGACGCGCCTGAGCTCATCGAAACATTCTGCTCTTTCATTCTCTCACCTCTTCATCCTGCGTTTCGATTGACTCTCCTCTTGCATGAACGCCTTCGGAATCACAGGCGACTGGTCAGCGTCGGAGATTCCTGCGAACGTGTTCTGCATGTCCCCTGACATCCCGTTGCTGATCCCCAGCAACTCGAATGCCTTCTTCGAACCAGTCGCCGCCATGAGCACCAGCCCGGCGAGGACGAGCATCCCGATGGCTGCGACGGCTCGCTGCCGTCCAAACGCCATGAAAGCGATGGCCTGCTCCAAGAGGCGTCATGACCCCAATTGACACGGTCCCACCACCCGCACCCAGAGTTTTCTCCTACTACCCACCTTAAAATCCTTAAATGAACCCCTATTTACTCACCCCCTGTACACCACCACCCCACTGTTTTTTCACCCCCCACCCACTCTTCTCCTCTCAACCATTCGCCTAAAAAAAAAAGCCTAGACTGGGTATCAATGAATCCATTTCCAACCCCCCATTTCCCCTTGGAGTACCCCCACTTGGGAGGCCTTGTCGTCTAGAGGGGCACAAAGAGTCATATCAAGCAGTCATAAGCACCCCTGCTCCTCACCTCCCACTATGAGATTTCAAATAGGCGTGTAAAAAGATTTGTGAGAGTTCTAGAGTACCCACCTCTCATCTAACCCTCTGGCAATGGTACAATGAGGGGTCACGCATGCCATCCTCATATTCGCAGTTCCACCCCGGGCCTGGGTGACCGCAGTACGGTAGCCCGTGGTTGCCACCGCGCGGCATATTCACCGGGCCAGTGCTGGAGCCGGGAGTCCCTTGACAGTGCCAGGCTATATGAGAATGCAACATGCACGCCGAGTACGGTAGATGAGGCCGGGCTGAGGGAAAGGACGGAGGCGACAGCGGCTTCGCTTCCTGACGGACTGTTCGGGCCTTCGCTCTCCTCCTCCCCCCGGGCCCGACTTGACATCCCGGCCGATGGCCCGGCCCGTTTGACCGACCGAGACCGAAGGGTAAAGGTGTAGAGGGAGGAGGAAGGTGGGGTACAAAACGAGGGGAAATTAGGGGGTGGATGCAGGTATCTAAAAAGTTTTAAATTTCCACAAGTTTATTTTGGCATGTTGACTAATATTTCGTTATTCAATTTGAAATCTTTGGAATCTTACAAGAAAGTTTCATCCCTTTCGCCGAAATCGGGACCGCAGAACTAGAACTAACTCCTCATGGCTGCGGGAGCTGTAGCCTGGGAGAGGGAGGAGGGAGGCAGGACAGGCAGCCAGAAGCCAGGAACGAAGGGCCGAAATGGATGGAGGGATAGAAGTATGGAGGGAGTATGGGAATAAGGAGGAGGAAGAAGCAGAAGACAAGTTGATGCCAGAAGAGAAGAGAAGAGGGGAGAACAAGGGAAAGAAAGGATCCGTTTTTCTGGATTGATAATAAGGTCTTGCTTACTGATTGCAATCGTAGGAAGGCCTATACGTCAGTACGGATAGCAGGGTTTTGAGAAGGTCCCATCATGAGATTATTTGGCAAGAAGAAAGATACGCAATCAAAGGTGAGCTTGGAATGACGTGAACGGTAAAAGCGCTGACTTCCTCCCTTCAGGGCGGTGTCTCTCCAGAGGATGCGATCAAGAGACTGAACGAGACAGCTGAGGTGATAGACACCATTGAGTAGAGGGTGATAGAACACTGATGCAAATGTTCGGGCAGATGTTGCGCAAACGACAAGCGTTCTTGCAACACCAAATCGACGGCGAAACGGAGCAGATTAAGAAGCTCTTGAAGGTGAAAGCGAGAGGATAAGGGATGTTGAGATGTTTCTCAAGCATGGAATCATTATCAGGAGAAGAAGGATCCAAACAATCGGAAAAAGGCTCAAACTGTCTTGAAGAAGAGAAAGTTGAAAGAGGTTTATCGTTAAACCGCGTCCTGCTTCTGCGGTAAACTCCTATGCAGAAATCGGTGGATACTCTTGAACGGCAAATTATGAACCTGGAAACTCAAGTTCTAAGTAAGACATGAAAGATTTTGTCTCAGACTTGAACCATTGACTTCAACATACTTTCAGCTCTACAAGAAGCGGTCGTTGGTGTAGACGGATATAAGGCACAGAGAGTGTTTACGGACGCCATGAAGAAAATCCACGAGGGCATGTACGAACCTCAAGGAGGAGGGGCGGATCGAGTCGTGATCCTTTGCCTGACAGGAGCATTGATGATGTTGAGGAGCAAAACATGGATGTTCAGGAGCAGGTAAAGATTGCCTTGCCATGACGGTCTTGGTTGGGTTACTTTGAGGCTACCAGCTGCAAATTGCAAGCGAAATATCGGAAGCACTAGCAAATCCGGTTGGGGGACAAGAGTTTGACGAGGTTGTCGACTTGACTCAGAGAAGAGGGAAGGAGGAGATGATTCGATTTGCAGGATGAGCTCAACGCGGAGCTAGAGGAGTTGGAGCAGGAAGAGATGGACAAGGAGGTGATAGTAGCAACCTTTGCGTCCCCTGTTGCTGTGTCTTCCAGAACCCACGCATCCTTGCCATGTTTGCCCTGTTTGGTATCCAGATTCCTCACCTTGTTTTCGCAGCTCACTGAAGTCTCTGTGGGGGATCTCGAGCTGGACGAGACGGCGATGCCTGCTGCGCCGAAAGGTCTTTGCCGTTGTCTCGTTCCTTCTCTAACTCATGTGGATGTAGGAAAACCCATCCTCATGCCTGCACCTGCACAAGGTAAAGTCGTGCTCTCCGAGCCCTGTGTGCCCCTGACAAGAGCATGTGCAGCCGAAGACGAGGAGGACCGCCAGCTGCAAGAGCTCATGGAGAGCATGCAGTAGTCGAGGGCGAGAGCTTTATGTCCTTTTTGATGGAATTGGTGTACAATCTTACAATCAACCGTTGTTCCTTCGCGCACTCCCTTACGGACAGAGCGTCTCAAGGCACTCTCAAGGCGCCAGCGAGGTCGTTGGGGGTCAGACGGAGTCAGCTCTGCAGTCTTGAGAGAAACGTCACGTAGGGCCTCTTTGGGCGTCCTCCTCCTCCTTGTCAAGTTCTGTTGGGGAAAGCATCGTACTTGCATCCTGCAACTTTCTTGCTGCTCCTGCTCCTGCTTCCTCCCTTGGCCTCTCCAGTTCAAGATGTGATCATGGCGGCGCCTACTGTTATGAACATCACTCCAGCCATCATCCGCAGTACACTCCCGAAGGGCATCTTGGCCCTGCGAGCATGTAAGGGAGGAAGTGTACAGGGTAGGCCATAGTCACCGCTTCGAAGCCTTGAACAGCCTTCCATGAGCCCAGGTAAGGAGGGCAAGCATCGAGCAATCTGTACATTTCAAGAGCGTCAGGATGTGGTGGGGTGTTACAATCCTTGCTCACAAGTTGTCAACTTGACCCCCTGCCATGTCGTCACTCCGGGAGACGAGGCACAGGGACTTACCGTTGCAGATCTGTCAATGGTGGGGAAGCGATTGTATGATATGCTCAGAAGCACGCCTGTAGGGATGGAAAAATGAGGCTGTACATAGGGGAGGGAGGGAGAGGGAGAGGGAGAGGGAGAGGGAGAGAGGAGAGGGGAGAGGGGAGAGGGGAGAGGGGAGAGGGGAGAGGGGAGAGGGGAGAGGGGAGAGGGGAGAGCGGGAGGAAGGGAGGAAGGGAGGAGGGAGGAGTGACGGAGAAGGTAAGAGAAAATACAACGAGCAAGAAGATCCGAGTAAGAGAGTAAGGGAGGGGGGGGGGAGGAAGGAGACCCAACAACCTTGGCTTGCAAACGCCGTGATCACAGGCTCTGTCGACAGGTCGCCCCAGTTCGGATGCGAGCTGGTCCCGATGCACAACAACCCCAGGGACCCAAGAAGGAAGGAGCGGGAGAAAGGGTAGAGGTCCTGGTAGTCCAGGCTTGTTATCAAGGAGAGCAGCTCCGACCCTCCACTCCTGGCTAGCTCCATGAGGTCAAGGCAGCGGCGCCTCAAGTATTCCGAGGAAGCAGAAAGAACTCCAGCACAATACTGCCCTGTGCGCCAGACGTAGGACTGAATGACATTGTGGGCAGAGTCCTTGGAAAAGTCCTCCCTCACTTGCAACACAAGATGGTTCAGACCCGTCCAAGAAGATCGTAGGAACGTGGCGAACTGCAGGAGACGGGGCAGCACGCAGCATGGCGGCACAGCAGGAGAAACTTCGTCAGCAAGGGGGGGCGGGGCGGTATCAGTGGTAAGTTTACCCGGGTGAAGTGCAGGTGAAGCTCGGATATCCTCCTCTCCATCATCCATCCTAGCAAGAATTCAGCCGCCATGGTGCGAATAAACGCGAACATGTCTTACCATATGCGCGGGAAAGGTGCTCGTAAACCTTGCCATGGAACGAGGCCGTCAAGCTTCACGAAGCGGCAGCTTATCGCAACTCACCCATGTGGAAGCTAGCGTCGCTTGTCTTAGGATCGGAGCCACAGCTTCTGCGAATCCTGCTCCTTCTCCTGCTCCCGCTCCTGCTCCCGCTCCTGCTCCCGCTCCTGCTCCTGCTCCTGCTCCTGCTCCTGATGCACCTGCTGTGCCTGCACCTGAACTTGCTTCTGCTGCTGCTGCTGCTGCTGCTCCTTCTCCCCGCCCCCCGCCCCAAGCACCCCAAGCCTTCTCCCCGATTCCCGCCATGGCAAACCAGGGCAGCGCTCAATTCGATAGGCTAGTTTGATGCTGCCTTTAGGACACCCCAGGGATGCCGCAAAAACAATGCGACTATCCTCCCTTCCTGCCTGCCTGCCTGCCTGCCTGCCTCCCTCCCTGCCTGCCTGCCTGCCTGCCTCCCTGCCTGCCTCCCTCCCTCCCTCCCTCCCTGCCTCCCTGCCTCCCTCCCTCCCATCCTTCCATGCTCATTTCGCACCCTTCCGTGTTTCCTTCATCTCAGAGGCAGAACAAAGAAATGGCAGGAAGCGGAGACGGAGGACGGGGGCAGGGGCAGAAGGAGCAAGGGAGGAGCAGAAGCAGGAGAAGGAGGAGGAGGAAGGGCAGGAGCAGGAGCAGGAGCAGGAGGATTGACGGGGTGGAACACAGGATGCGTCATGTCCAGCTCGTGATGGGGCCTGCTGGATGCGGCAAGAGCACCTACTGTCACACTATGTATGAGGTAGGCGAGTTTCCCGCACAGCCATCGTTGCCTTACCCTCCCCATGTCAGCATGGATTAGCAAGCAAGCGGTCCTTTCAGATTGTCAACCTCGACCCGGCGGCGGAACATTTCAAGTACCCGGTCACTGTAGGTAAAGATGCTCCTATCTCCATGCTGTGGGCCCGGAAGGTTCACTGGTATGAACGAACGTGACAGATGTAAGGGAGTTGATCTCGCTAGATGATGTCATGGAGGAGCTGGACTATGGGTGAGTAGGAGGGTCTGACATGAGAGCTGACGACACATGTTACATACGTTGAACACAGCAAGACAGTATCTGAACTCACACAGGGTTTCTCTCTAGAGCAGCTTGCATGTTTGCTGCTTTTCTCGCTAGAACCCTTGGCTCCCCTTGTTCTAACTCTTGACCTGTTCAGCCCCAACGGAGGCCTTGTGTACGCCTTTGAGTACCTTGACGAAAACCTCGAGTGGCTGCGGGAGCAGTGAGTGTTTTGAGCATAAAAAAATGTTGTTCCTGATGATCTGAAGGCTGGGGGATTCCGATGACGATTATTTCATCATGGACTGTCCGGGTCAGATTGAGTTGTACTCTCATGGTATGACTTCATTACTATATATCTTGCTTTGATGAACAGTATCTGCAGTGCCAGTCATGAAGAATCTTGTTCAGGCTCTTCAACGATGGGGGTTTCTTGACTTGTTGTGTTGCTGGCTGTCTTATTTCTTGCCCATCGATGGCAGGTTCATGGTTTGCGGGGTGTATGTGATAGATTCACAATTCATAGCTGATCCTGGTCAACATCGAGATTGTTCACTCGGCAGTCTCTCTGATTCTTCTGATCAGGAAAGTTCATCTCTGGCTGTCTTGCTTGTCTCTCAGGTGCTTCACAACATTGCTCGTAGCTGTTCCCTTCAATGATTGATGTGATCAGCGATGGTGCAACTTGAAATCCCGCATGTCAACGTCCTCACTAAGATGGACCTCGTACGGAAGAAGAGAAGTTTCATGGTTTCCGTCCTCTCCTCTCCTCCCCGATCAGAACATCACTGCACGTTGCAGGAGAAGTTCTACCAGCCAGACATCGACGAGCTCATAGCTGATCTCAACGCAGACTCAAATCCTGCGATGTACAAGTGAGCCGCTAATGACAAGATGCCATTCCCCTGTCTCTGACATGCTGGCAGGTTGAACCAAGCCATGGGCTCTCTACTCGACGACTACAGGTGGACTGAGGTTGAGCATGCCTAGGGCTCACTATGTGATGCCGTGCAGCCTTGTTGGGTTCCTGCCGTTGAACATCTACGACCCTGACAGCGTCATCTTTGTGAGCCCCTCCTTTCCCTCCTTTCCCTCCTTTCCCTCCTTTCCCCCCTGCCCCTCCTGCCCCTCCGTTCCCTCCTTTCCCTCCATTCCCCCCTGCCCCTCCTGCCCCTCCTTTCCCTCCTTTCCCTCCTTTCCACCCTGCCCCTCCTGCCCCTCCTGCCCCTTCTGCTATGCCGCCTGACGAGCCGCCAGGTCCTGTCGCACATCGACAACGCGATACAGTATGGGTAACTCCTCCTCCCCTCCTCTCCTCCCTCTTGCTGACGTCCACGTGCAGGGAGGACCGGGAGCCGGCGGAGCCCGAGGAGTACGAGGTCCCCGATGAGTGAGGCAGGAGAGTTTTCAGCTCCGATCCGAGAGCTTGCTGAGATTCATTAGACCCTAAGTCGCTCTCTGCGAGCCTAAGCTTGTCTGGGCTGGTTGGCCCGCCGTCTGATCGTGACAAGAAAAGAGTAGAAGGGTTAAGAGGGTCGAGGAGGAGGAGGAAGAGGGGGAGGAGGAGGAGGAGGAGGAGGAAGAGGAGGAGGAGCGCTAGAAGAGAGGAGGGGGGCTAGAACGGAGGAGGAAGGGGGGCACCCGAAAGGAGGGGAAAAGAAAGGCTTGTAGTCAAGATGGTCACTCCGACCAGTCCAGCTGAGGTTTGTGGGGACTGAATGAGTTCAAGTGGTCGAATGTTGAGTTTGGGATTCACTCGCTACTACATTTTCTGTAGCCATGGATCAAATACCATCCTGCCTCCTTCCCACTCCTCCCATCCTCTTTCCTCACTCTCCCTATTTTTCTCTCCTCTTCTCTCCTCTTCCCTACCGTCCTCCCACCCTCCTCCCTCCTCTTCTACACTTCTACTTCCCTTGATCTCTGCCGATGCCTCTCTCACTCTGCCGCCATAAAAGGAGCAGGCTCACGTACGAGGTTCGAAGCTCAAAGCGAGCAGGAGATCAGGAGGAGAAGAGCGCTGTGATGCGACATGAGGGCACAAGTCACAAACTACACGATGATCAGTCTACCTCTACCCTCCTTGGGACCTCAAAGGATCGCAAACCCCAGCAGCAGCAGCAGCAGCAGCAGCAGCAGCAGCAGCAGCAGCAGCAGCAGTAGTAGTAGTAGTAGTAGTAGTGATCGTCGTCGTTGTCGTCGTCGTCGTCATCATCATCTCATTGTTCATAGCGCAGTAACATTGCTGTTATCGCTGTTATCTGCTATCTGTGGGTGTGATTGTATAAGTGCTTGTAACATCATCCTCCTCCTCCTCCTCCTCCTCCTCCTCCTCCTCATCATCATCATCATCATCATCATCATCATCATCATCATCATCATCA